CTTTTTTCTTTTTGCTTATGTGGTGCTGAGGAATCGAACCCAGGGCCTCATGCATGCAAGGCAAGCGCTCTACCACTGAGCCACCTTCCCAGCCCCACTTCCAGCTTTTTGGTGGTTAATTAGAGATAAGAGTCACAGACTTTCCTTCCTTGGGCTGGTTTCAAAACTCAATCCTTAGACCTCAGCATCTTAAGTAGCTAAGATTACAGGAGTGAGCCACTCAGTGCGTCACTCACTTCTTTTTTCTTTTTGAGATGGGACTTACTACTATGTAGCCTAGGCTGGTGTGGAACTGAATCTTCCTAAATACTGGGATCACAGATGTATGCCACCATGTCCAGTTTTAAAAGATACCTTTGGAAGACATAATTGTAAGAACATTATTAGCATTATGCAGTAACAATTTTTAAATAGTACGTATTTAGTGAATATGTCTATTATGTGTTGCTGCCTTACAAATGACCAATATCTTTAAAACAACGGCCAGCATTGTAATATCTGAGTTGCTATTCACTGGCAGAAAGCTCCTCCTATTGTCTGGCCTCAGTTCCTCCTGCTGTTGGAAATTTACTCTCTCCTGAACCCCCTTTCCTTTGGAAAAGGAGGGTATCTATGAGAACAAAAATGTGAAATCAGAAAACAGAACAAAATTATTGATAAAGGGTAAAACCTCTTAGTAAAGAAAAACTCCAAGCAAAGGCTGACCAATAGTCAAATTTTGCCCCTTCTCCATCCTTGCTAAAAAGCAAAAGAACATCTCACCCTCACTCAAGTTTACCAAGCTGGCAGCTTTGCAGAAGGTTACTGACAACCTTGAGGCTTATCACCAGCTGCACTGAGCTGCTGTATTAGTCAGGAGCTTATAATAAAATCATTTCTGTAATAGTATCAATAGCACTGATAGTATTGGCCATGCTGACCAAGGCAAGATTCTGTTTTGCCTATGGTCCTGTGACTCAAGGCTATGTTTTTGCTATGTTTTACTTCTGTAACCTTGCTTACTTGCCTCGGTAACAAGGCTTTAAGCCCATCAATTGAAGACCACCACCGAATTGTCCCAGTACGAGTGACGTATTGTGAATTATGTATGATGTTTACCATCAAGAACAAATGAATTTAACTATAACTATATAATTACAATTATATAGCTATAACCAATGAAAATGTGCCAAACCTGCCTTGCATGGCCTGTCTGTGTAACTCTATGTTACCTATCCCTATAAAAACCCATCCTATCCAGAGCTCAAGGCCATTCTCCTACTTTCCGGGTGGTAGGAAGCGGTCCCTGCGTAGTGGTAATAAAGTTCCTAGCTCCTTTAACTGGGTGTCTTGGAGTCTTTTTTGGGTTCGGGATAGTATAAGTATCTGTTCATTTTTGTGGTGCTAGGGAAGGAATCCAGAGCCTAGCACATGATGGCTTAATGCTCTACTACTGAGTTACACTCTTAGTTCCAACCTCTCCTTTTTGTATTTTTTATTGTGAAAATACCATACAGAGGGGTTACAATTACATGGGCAAGATAATGAGTACATTTCTTTTTTTTTTTTTTGGTCAGGTCGTGGTGCCTGAACTCTGGGCCTGGGTGCTGTCCCTCAGCTCTTCAGCTCAAGGCTAGCGCTCTACCACTTGAACCACAGCGCCACTTCCGGGTTTTTTCTTTTTTGCTTATGTGGTGCTGAGGAATGGAACCCAGGGCCTCATGCATGCAAGGCAAGCACTCTACCACTAAGCCACCTTCCCAGCCCATGAGTACATTTCTTATCAAGCATTGTTGCCTCCTACTTTGTTTCCCCTTCCCATCCCTACCCATCTGACCCCCCCTCTGCGCTCCCCCACCACTATCGCCCCCCTGCGCCAAAGATGTATAGTTCATTTTCGACATAGCATCTTGTACATCTCATTGTTGCAATGGGTCCATCTGTATCCCTATTTAAACAATTTGTTTTTTCCCTTCCCCTCCACAAATTACACCAACATCAAATACAGTGAAAACAGTGGTTATACCATGGGGGAGGGGCATACAAAGCAACAAAGAAATCATCTTATAACTCCACATAGAACTCCCTTATAGGGCTGGGAAAGTGGCTCAATGGTAGAGCGCTTGCCTTGCATACCTGAGGCCCTGGGTTTGATTCCTCAGCACCACATAAGCAAAAAGAAAAAAGCTGGAAGTGCTAGTCTTGAGCTGAAGAGCTGAGGGGCAGTGCCCAGGCCCAGAGTTCAGGCCCCACAACCAGACCCAAAAAACAAAACAAAAAAGAACTCCCCTATGACCCAGCAATCCCACTTTTGGGCATTTACCCAAATGATCACAAACAAGACCATACTGAGGCTACCAGCACAACTATGTTTATTGCAGCATTATTTACCATAGTTAAGTATTGGAAGCAACCCAGATGCCCCTCAGTAGATGAATGGATCAAGAAAATGTGGTATATATACACAATGGAATTCTATGCCTCCATTGGAAAGAATGACATTGCCCCATTTGTTAGGAAATAGACTTGGAAAAACATATTAAGTGAAGTAAGCCAAGCCCAAAGAAACCTAGGTCCCATGGTTTCCCTTATTTGCAATAACTAGTATATGTCTGAGTCAAGCAGAAATGGTCAGATAAGTTGATGTTAAGCGAAATGAACCAAGGACTCAAATGTTTTTTTTCTTTCTTGCTTTTGTGTCTCTCCTTTTTAAAAAAAAAAAAATTAAGAGTTGTTGCTTAAAAATATTGTGGGTGCCAGGCGCTGGTGGCTCATGCCTGGAATCCTAGCTACTCAGGAGGCTGAGATCTGAGGATCATGGTTTAAAGCCAGCCCTAGACAGAAAAGTCCATGACTCTCATCTCCAATAAACCACTAGAAAACGGGAAGTGGCACTGAGGCTCAAATGGTAGTGTGCTTGCCTTGAGCTGAAGAGCTGAGGGACAACGCCCAGGCTGAGTTCAAGCCCCACGACTGACCAAAAAAAAAAAATGTGTGTCAGGAATTCATGAGCAGATTAACTGGATGGTTCTGGCTCAGTGTCTCATAAAACTACCGTCCTTTGGAAGCTAGACCCTGGGGAATCTGTTTCCCAGCTAGCTCATGACTATTGGCAGAGAGCTCTAATCTAATCTTCCCATACTGTTTGACTAGCTTGCTTGCTGGACGGCACTCTACGATTTGACCCACACCTCCAGCCTAGCTTTTTGCTAACTATTGTGGAAATGAAGTCTCATGGAGTTTTCTGCCTCGACTGGCCTCGAACCATAATCTTCCTAAGAATCTCAACCTCCTGAGTAGCTAGAAGTACAGACATGACCAACCACAAGTTTCTTATCCTTTCTTGAAGTCTCTCCACAGAATGCCTTACAAAGCCTCAGGACAAGCTAGGTGCTGGTGGCTCACGCCTGTAATCCTGGCTACTCAGGAGGCTGAGATCTGAGGATCACGTTCAAAGCCAGCCCAGGCAGAAAAGTCCATGAGACTCCTATCTCCAATTAACCACCAGAAAACTAGAAGTGGCACTATGGCTCAAGTGATAGAGCACTCACCTTGAGCTGAAGAGCTCAGGGACAGCAACTAGGCCCAGAGCTCAAGCCCCATGACCACCACCACCACCACCACCACAACAACAAAAAAAAGCCTCAGGACATGAGTGTGTTTCCCCGTAGCCAGTGATTGTGAGCGCCAAGGATGAAGCTATACAAGTTTCTGTAGGAGTCTAACATGTTTCAGTGAACAGAAACCTACAAGCTCATGAATATCAGATCCTTGGGATTTGGATGTTCAAACTGCCCCATTTGTTTTCCTATGTATCTGCTTGGACCCCTGGTGATAGGTATGGATGTATCTTTCATTCTCAGTTGATTTATTTGGGTCAAGATCCATACATTTTGTTGGTTTGGCTCTTTCTTTTTTTTTTGGGGGGGGGGT